TTGACAAAGGAAACCAGTAAAGCCACTGGGAAAAGGAAAACCTTTTTAGCAAATGGTGCTGAAAAAACTGAGTATCCACCTGCAGAAAGATGAAACTGAATCCCCATCTTTCACCATTAACAAAAATCAACTCAAAATGGATCAAAGATCTGAACCTATGACCTCAAACTATAAAACCAGTGGTGGAAAATACTGGGAAAACTCTGGGAGACATTGCGGTAGGCAAAGAATTCTTAAATAAGACTCCCAAAGCACAGGCAATAATCCCTAAAATAAACAAGTGGGACCATATCAGATTAAGAAGTTTCTGCACAGCAAAGGACACAGTAATAAGTATGAATCGACAACCTTCAGAATGGGAGAATATTTTTGTCAAATTTGCCTCAGACAAGGGACTGATAACCAGAATACACAGGGAACTCAAGCAGCTTACCAGAAAAAAAAAAAAAAAAAAAAAAAAAAAAACACAATTAAAAGATGAGAAAATGAGCTAAACGAAAATCTAAGGAACACATACAAATAGCCAAAAAGCATATGAGGAAGTGCTCAACACTCTTCATCATAAGGGAGATGCAGATTAAAACCACAATGAGATATCACCTAACCCCTGTCATAATGGCAAAGATTAGAAATACAAAAAGTGTTAAGTGTTGGCAGGGATGTGGTGAAAGGGAACTCTCCTACACTGTTGGTGGGAATGTAAACTGGTTCAGCAACTGTGGAAAACAATATGAAGGTTCCTCCGAGACCTATAAATAAAACTACCATTTGATCCAGAAATCCCAATTCTGGGTATCTACCCAAAGGATAGGAGAATGCTCAGTAGGAAAAGCCCTTGCACATCAATGTTTATGGCAGCATTATTCACGATCGCTAAGACATGGAACCAACCTAAATGTCCACAGACAGATGAATGGATGGAAAAAATGTGGTACATATACTCTATGGAATACCACTCAGTCATAAAAAAACAACAAGACCCTGGCACTCGATAGAAAGTGGTCAAATATATGGAGGATCTACTGCTGAGTGAAGCAAGCCAGGATATGAAAGATAGATATTGTATGTTTCTACTTAATATATACCAACTATCTGCACTTTATGGTAGAGATCAAAATATTGGAGGGCATAAAAGCAGTGGAAATAGTTATGGATGCTAAAAACAGTGTGTAACAGGGTGGTAGAAGGGGAGAGTATAGAGAAGGAGAGCAAGAGAACAAATAGTGAGGCATGACATTAGTGGGACACAGATACAGTTTATTACCTGTTAATAACACATATAATATTCTCAACTGAACTGGTCCGAGAAGTATTTCAGGTTGGGCAAATTCTCTTTACAAGCCAAATGATGTATAGTGATTGAATGTGTTAAAAAAAAATGAGAACAAAAAATAAAAATAATCTGAAAAAAAATAAAAAGCTATTTGATGATGATGATGATGTGGATAGTAATGTCTTTTGTCTTGACTGACACATATGTTAATCATGCAGGAAAAAGGTAAATGTAAAAAATATGTAATACACTGTAAAGATATATGTGATTCAGTGTTATATAAAAAAGATTATGACAATAAATTTTTAAAAGTGGAAAAAAAAAAAAAAGAAAGAAAAGAAAAATCAGACCAGAGACCAATGAGCAGTATAGTAGTTAAGATCTTTTGTCTTGACTGACACATATGTTAATCATGCAGGAAAAAGGTAAATGTAAAAAATATGTAATACACTGTAAAGATATATGTGATTCAGTGTTATATAAAAAAGATTATGACAATAAATTTTTAAAAGTGGAAAAAAAAAAAAAAGAAAGAAAAGAAAAATCAGACCAGAGACCAATGAGCAGTATAGTAGTTAAGATGCTAGACTCTCTTGGGACCAGCGGTTAGAGTAATGGCTATGTCGCTGGAATCCCATGTAGAAACGCGGTTCGAGTCCCGGACCCGGTGGCTTAAACTCACGCCGGGCGCATTTGCGAGCGTGCCCAAGATCCCAAGAGGAGAATGGAGGAGAAGGGACTGTGGCGTGGCCATTCCCCCTGGGGGGTGATTTCTCGCTTTCTGTCTCTCTGTCTCTCTCTGTCTGTCTGGCGAGCACACGCGCCCTATAGCAAAAACCTCTCCAAGGGAAAAAAAAAAAAAAAAGATGCTAGACTCTCACATGGCTGACCATGATTTGAGCCCCAGACTCAGTGGCATGAAAATCATGCCATATGTGTGCATGCCCAAAATCCCAAGAGAAGAAGGGATTATAGCATGGTCATCCCTCTTGCGGGGTGATTTCTCACTTTCCCTGTCTCTCTCTCTCTCTGGTGAGCACATGTGCCCTATGGCAAAAACCTATATTAAAAAGAAAGAAAGAAAAATCACGTCCCCAAAATCCTAGGAGATGAAGGGATTGTGGCATGGATGTCCCCCTGAGGAGGTGATTTTTCACTATCTCTTTCACTGTCTCTGGCCAGCATACGTACCCTATGGTGAAAATCTTATATATTTTTTTCTTTTTTTTTTTTTTAACCTTTTAGATATGACCTGTACTACTTTAATGTGATAAATTTTAAAATCTAACATATACAATTTAACTTGACAAAATACGTTATTTAGGGAACCAGCAGTTAGCATAATGTCTATGTCGCTGGACTCCCACATAGTCAACCACGGTTCGCATCCCGGACCCGGTGGCTTAAAACTCACACCGGGCGCGTGTGCGTGCGTGCCCAAGATCCCGAGAGGAGAATGGAGGAGAAGGGAATGTGGCGTGACCATCCCCCCTGGGGGGTGATCTCTCGCTTTCTGTCTGTATGTCTCTCTCTCTGTCTGGCAAGTGCACGCGCCCTATAGCGAAAACCTCTCAAAAAAAAAAAAAAAAAGTCATTTAAATACCAAATCCAAATCTTAGCAGAAATTGGCTTTCCAGTAGAGGACAGAGCATGTTCTCCACAGTAATACACTAACGAAAGACAGATGTTCTCAGCTTGGACAAGAAGTTAGGGAACCGTGTGTCTGATTTTGGTTCTAAGAGACTGAGTGACCCCTATCTGAAGGATACATACTGCTGATTAAGAACTACACAGTGAATTTAAAAAGCATTCATTTAAGTACCATGTAAAACCCAGAACCACAAAGAAGATCTCCCTCCAAAGAATATGAACTAGTGGGAGAAAATATGTAAAGACAATTTACAAACAATGTGTAAAGAAAGCATGACTTGAGTGCAACAGGTGGGATTCACCTTGGCTAAAAGAGGCAGGGAAACCTTCAGAGGGGAAGTAAAGGTTAGGCAGAGCTAGGAGGCAGCGAGAGATCTTTCTAGGTAAAGAAAGGAGAAAATTTTTTGACTATAATTAAGCAAATAACTTCTAAAAGAAATAACAAGAGGGCATGTTTTAAAAAATATTTTCCCTGTCCAAGAATAAAAATTATTTCAGACAAAATACATTACTGAGATGAAATTAAAGTTACATAAAATGGGAGACTTAGAAGTGAAATGCTGGCACCATGAAAAACATTTACTAGTTCTCAACTGAAGGTAGTATGACCTCAAGCAGGCATCTGGACACGGGTGTGGTATCAACACCTTTTTGTTCTCCCAGTGACTGTGCTTATGGCTGGGGTGTGCCAAAGGCATATAACAGTAATTAGACTATCCCAGATTGTTCTGCCCAAAGTGTCCTTGGGTCCCTGTGGTGCAACAGTGTTAGCGGAACCTGACTAGCACCTACGCAGCAAGGGAGATGGCCTTACAAATAGAAGACAAAGGCAGATTCAAGTCACTGTTGCGAGAAACAAAGAAAGAAAATTTCGAAAAACGAAACAATACCATACTATGAAAGTGTGAAAATATGTTCACACATTCTTTGATTCTCCTCCTTTAAGAAAGGGGTCCTAATTCCCCTCCTTTTGTGTATCAGCTGGACTAAGACTAGCTTCCAATAAATAGAGAAACAGGGGAACTGTACTGAGTGCCTTGAGAAACTAGGTCATTCACACTGCAGCTTCCTCGCTCTCCCCCGGGACTGCTCTCTGGGGAAGTTAGCTACTATGTCCTGAGGACACTCAAGCTGCCCACAGAGAGGCCCATGGCGAGACCTCCTGTCAACAGCTACATGAATGAACCAAGCCTTCAAATGACTACATCCCTGCCCGACATCCAAACTACAAACATAACAGAGACTGGGCCACAACCACTCAGCTAAGCTGCTCCCAACTCCTGACCACCAGAAACAATGAGACAATAAATATGTCTTTTTCTTTTGGAGAGGTTTTTGCTATAGGGCGTGTGCGTTCGCCAGAGAGAAAGAGAGAGACAGAAAGCGAGAAATCACCCCCCGGGGGGATTGGCCACGCTGCAATCCCTTCTCCTCCATTGTCCTCCCGGGATCTTGGGCACATGCACATGCTCCTGTCATGAGTTTGAGCCACCGGGTCTGGGACGTGAACCATGGTTGACTACATGAAAGTCCAGCAACACAGCCATTATGCCAACTGCTGGTCTCATAAATATGTATTTTTAAGCCTCTAAATTTTGAGGGAATTTGTTATGCACCAATATATAATTAATACACCCCAAACAAAATACAGTAATATTGGATTCTTCCTTTTTAGAAGTTCAGAAAGTACCATGAACTCATTTGCTATACAGTAATGAATGGGACAGGAAGGTCAGGAAGAAGTGGGTAGCATCAAGCTACTTTGAAAATAAATTATCTCAAATCCATTAGTTTTGTAAAAATGACTACCTTTTTCTTTCAAGTTAGAAATTGTTTAAACAAAAAGAGTAAACAAACTTCCACAGTGTAAACTGGAGACCAGAAACTGAATGCTACATTTTTAATGTGCACTTGGAGCATTCTGTCTAGCCTCTGACCTTTTCTTTAATGTAACCAAATTACCATACACTTTGGCAGAAATCTTCCTCACATCTCTCTGTGACCTTGGTCATTACAATTTAAAGGAAATTCCACTGTGAGTCTCAGGAAAGCCACTGAGGAAGTTACATCCACTAACCTGCGTGCAAATACTTGGCAGACAGAGTGCGATTTTCACCATATCAGGCAAAATAGATTGAGACAAATGTTGAGCTTCTGCTTCTTCAAGTACCTGAAAATCAATAATACATGTTAGGTGAATAATAACTAGTGAACAACAACCAATCAACAATTGTTTGTTATAAAACTAAATTACATATGTTTTTCGTGGGATGCACTAAGACACATTATCATCATCAAACAAAAGTACACTAGGGATCCACCAATAAACTTACAAGTTTATTTCCAAATGTATACAATTTACCTCAATGCCCTCTCGAAATTGAGAATCCCAAATATCAAATATCTCTCACATTGATTTTCACAATTAAACAAAATACTTGCAAGTGAAAAAAAGTATAATCTGCCCTCGGTCTGAAAACTATTAGACCACTAAAAACTCTCTCAAAATCCCCCAAGGATGCAGGTAACTTTGACAGTTTATAATTTAAGAAAATTGCTATGCGTAAAAGCCACAGTGGTTACCTCAGAACGTGTGTCAAATCTAACTTATTGGGAGTAAATGTGAGTTCTTATGATCTTAGAATTTTCCTTTTCTAGATATTCTCGGGAAGTTAAAACCACAATTCCCAAATCATAATTTGAAGCACAAAAATTACATTCACGGTCCAATTTTTTTATTTTTATTTATTTATTTATTTATTTATTTAGGAGAGGATTTTGCTATAGGGTGCGTGCGCTCGCCAGACAGACAGAAAGAGACATAGAGACAGAAAGCGAGAAATCACCCCCCAGGGGGGATGGTCACGCCGCAATCCCTTCTCCTCCATTCTCCTCTCGGGATCTTGGGTATGCACGCACATGTGCCCGGCGTGAGTTTAAGCCACCAGGTACGGGACTCGAACCGCAGTCAACTACGTGGGAATCCAGCGACATAGCCATTACACTAATTGTTGGTCCCACGGTCCAATTTTTTAAAGAGAGATTTTGCTATAGGGCATGTATAATTGATGGAGAAAGAGAGAGGCAGAGAGAGGGAAAGTGAGAAATCCACCCACTCCCCAGGGGGCTGGCCATTCTGTAATCCCTTCTCCTCCATCCTCCTCCCCAGATTTTGGGCGCGTGCGCACACACACACACACACACACACACACACACACACGGTGAAAGTTTCAAACTGCCAGGTGCAGGACTCGAACTGCAGTTGGCTGTGTAGGGGTCCAGTGCTTTAACCACTATGCAACCTGCTGGCCCCTCAGGGTCCATTTTTATCTTTTATCATTTTTCGTCTCTACAAGGCTTTTTAATCCAATTTCTCGATAACATCAGGGCATTTCTTTAAAAGTATTGATAATGACACTCTTAATTTGGACGACATATACAGATTGAAGTAAATAATTTATCTGCTTGAAGTCACATTTTTAAGTAGAAGAGTTCTCAGTTATAAAACAGTCTGATCTTGTCATTATTACAGAGAAAAGAAAACCGAGGCTAAGGAAGTTAACTGAGCCATGCTAGATCGAGAAGATCAATTAGCAACTACTAGGTTGTCGAGACAGTCATGACACATTTTTCTATACAAAAAATGCATCATAACTTTCCCAAAGACCCAACAAATCAGAACAAAAACCCAAGTCTTCTGGTTTCTACTCCAGAGATCTCCCCATCTCCCATGTGACCATTAAGACTCTACAGCTACCTACAGATTTTCTTCACTAACATAAACTAAGCCAAAGGAAAGGTAAAACAATTCATCTCTCCGTAGCTAGACTGAGTAAATGGGTGCACAGAAAAAGTATCAGATATAATTTATATCCTCTCTTTCGTTCTCCTCTTGGGATTTTGGGCATGCATGTATGCACATATGCCCGGTGTATTTTTTCAAGCTACCGAGTCCAGGACTCAAACCACTCAGTTGGACATATGGGATCTAGCTGCCTTAACTTCTGTGTCATCTGTTGGTTGTGCAGGTATATTCTAACACAGAATTGTCTTTATACCAAAGTTCTAAAATTCAATTCTATGTTTTCCTCCTTCTTTAAATTAAAATGGGATAAATGACATTCAGAATAAGCAGACAATTCAGAGACTATGGGATTCAACTAACCAGAGGCGTATAGAAATTAAGCAAGTGCATATAAGGCAATTATAAATTCTAGAAAAAAACAAAAAGTTATTCTATAGAAGGGAGGAAACATAACCATAGCCCAGATGTGAATAGTGTTCAAGCTGTTCTACTGAAAAGACTGAACACTGATATAAATGAAATAACTATAATGACTACCATGGGAAAATGGGGAGGCAGAGATAAGAGAGAGGTGTGAGAGGATGGATGACGTGAGAACAACACCTAAATCCTAATCTCTTGAAGTGGAAAGACAATACACTAAAAAAAAGGTAAAGAATTTTAAAGTGCTAAATGGCCACCCCTTTTTACTAAGACTCTGTAACTCTGATAAAGTGAAAACAAGGTCCAGCCATGGTGGGGCAGCAGGAGTGCAATGCTCTGCAATGCTGGAAGCCACATGGAAGATCAGAGCTCAGTTCCTAAGTCAAACTGCACGTGTCAGGTAGACACGCATGCCCATGGCTGGCTGGCTGGTGGAAAGGCTTAGGAGGGAAGACAGATCATGACACGAAACCATGCTGAGTATGCTTGTCTTTCTCAAAGAAGATTTTGCTTTTAAAAACTACTCATTTCTTTTTAGAGATTTTTGCTATAGGGCACATGGGCTCACCAGAAGAAACAGAGAGACAGAAAGTGAGAAATCACCCCCCAGGGAGGATGGCCACATCTCAATCCCTTCTCTTCTATACTCTTAGGGTTTTGGACATGCACACACAGGCACTCAGAATGAGTTTCAAGCCATTGGGTCCAGGGCTCAAATCACGGTCGACCACATGGGAGTCCAGTACCTTAAGCACATGCTGGCCCTGAAAAGTTTTTATTTTTGAGGTCCAGGCTTGGTGAAGCAAGTGGTAGCGTACTTATCTCCAGTCTAGGAAGTCACTTCCCAGGCTATGGGTTTGGATCCCAAGTTGACCTGACGCCTGCAGGACACATGTGCACCCAGAACGCTGACCGGCCAGAGGGCTGAGGGATAGGGGTGATTATGTGACTACATTTCTTTTTTTTTTTTTTTTTTTGAGAGATTTTTTGCTATAGGGCGCGTGCGCCTGCCAAAAATAGAGAGAGACAGAGAGATAGAAAGTGAGAAATCATCCCCCAAAGAGATGGCCAGACTGCAATCCCTTCTCCTCCATTCTCTCGGGATCTTAGGCATGCACGCATATGCGCCTGGCATGAGTTTAAGCCACCAGGTCCGGGATTCGAACTACAGTCGCCTACATGGGAGTCCAGCGACACAGCCATTACGCTAACTGCTGGTCCGTGACTACATTTCTTAGAGGGTGCCTTTCTCTCTCTTTTCTCATGCATACATGCAGTCTCTCATAAGATAAAAATTTGAAAATGTTTTATTTTAAAATAATTGTAGATCCAAAGAATGCTGCAAAAATATAGGGAGGTTTACTACACCTTGCACCCAGTTTTCTTCAATGGTTAAATTTTATATAAATACAGATTATTAAAACCAATAAATTGATACTATTACAATGTGTATCATTTAATGCCATTTTGTTACCTTTGTGTAACCACGAAAATCAAAACACAGAGCTGTTCTGTTTCCACAGAAACATTTCCAGTCATACTCATCTTCTTTTCTCTGCTATACCTATCCTCTAGCAACCACTGGTCTGTTTCACAACCCTAATTTTGTCGTGATTATTTCACTCACTTAATGAAATCATATATTATGTGTCATTTATTTTTTTCTTTCCCTCCCTCCCTTCCTCCCTTCTTTCCTTCCAAGTTTTTGCCATCGTGTACATGCACTTACTGGAGAGAGGCAGAGAGAGGAAAAGTGGGAAATCCCGGGGGTTGGGCATGCACAAACCCTTCTCCTCCATTCTCCTTCTGGACTTTTGGACACACACACACACACTCAGCGTAAATTTCAAGCTACCAGGTCTGGGACTTGAACTATGGCTAATCATGTAGGAGTCCAGTGCCTTAACCACACCACGCCACGTGCTGGTGCCATTACGTGCCTTTCAGAGCGTCTTTTTTCATCCAACAGAATGTCTTAAGGAACCATTCACATGGCTGCAAGCATCAACAGTTCCTTCCTTCTTGTTACTGATTAGTCATCTCTGTCATGCCAAGTGGTTTAGCCATTCATCAGCTGAGGGGCATTTTGTTTGTTTTCAACTTCTTTTATACAAATCTTACCTTCACTATTTATTATTCTGTATAATTATTCATTTATACAATGTGAACCAGACTGCAAGTAGAAAAAGCTTTGTAAAGATGTAAATCAATTGTTAACTTCATGAGAAGCAAACGCCCTCAAATATTCTAGATTAAAGAAAACTCAACATTTATTACTTATGATAATGACAATCATAAGGAAGCATTTCCATGATGGTAGAAGGCAGAGTGACATTAGATTCTCCCACAAGTGAAGCCCTGCCACCTACTGGAGAGTCTGCAGCAACGGTTTCTGAGCACGCGCACATGTGTATACCAACTTTTTATTCTAGTCCCACAAATTTGTTAAATACATGTTTCATGTGAATTGAACAAGGAATTTCAAAACTAAAATGATGTTTTGCCATCTACTCTTTTTTGAGTATAGATCTATTCATTCATTCAGTTAACTAATTAACAAGTACCCGGTATCTATTATGTGCCAGGCACTGCGTCAGAAGATGACAGAACGGTAAACAGTAAGAGACACGGTCACTGACCTCATGATCTCAGGGCAGAATGTCATAATCTCTGTGACCCCCAATACGTCATCCCTAACCTTGAAGAACAACAACTGTAACCGTAGCACAGGAACTGGAAAGAGGCTATCCTTCTTTCTCTGGCAGAGAGAAACAGGGGGGAAACTCCTAGAGTAACTGAATTTGCCAAATTTCAAAACAAGTGATTTAACTGTCTCCAAACACAAAATAGAAGAGACATTTACTTACTTCTTTCTTAGAATATTTGATCAATTAAATCTGTTAAAAGTGCTCAAGAGTGTGTGTGTGTGTGTGTATAAAATA